GCGGCTTCGAGGCCTCAATGTTGGGTGGGAGCTTCTGTGGTTAAGGATGGTAATCTATGGCACTTCAAAAAAATATCAATACTTTTTTGCGGGCTCCTTACTATAATTATAGCATATTGGGCCCCAAAACTCGAATCTAATTATTGAGGCGCCTATATTAGGCCGTCGAAGAGGGCCATGGTTGGAGGGTTGTTTAGGGTGCTTTGGGTTGTGGAGCTTTCATACGGCGCTACCGTGGTTTTGTAGGGCTGCACTTGTTTCTTGAGGGGCTTACAAGGCTAGCAGGCGTTTACTTAGCACTGCTTTCGCGATATTTGTGGGTGCCACATAGTTTGTGTCATTGTACCGCCCGGTCGTGCACCTTGTCGCCGAGAATTGGGGTGTCTAGGTCTCCGCGGTTGGGGGTAGGCTTGCTTCAACTTGGAACTTCTAGCCTCCAGATTACAAGCGGTCAAACCCTCTGTGTTCCTGTGCAGTTCAGCATAACCGTACCGGCCCAGAATTTGTGGTGCAACACCTGACCTCTACCTCCCTAAGCCAAGCTTCTCATAGCTTCTCCCGGCAGCCGGGCCAGAACTAAACTCAGCAACCTCCCCAAGCCAGGAAACCCGAGACTTTCAAGTCTAAGCCAAAAACATTGGGCCCCGCCCTCAAAGTGAGCACCTGCAACATAGGCAGGGGTACGAGTAACTGGCAGCAACCCCACTAGAGTCCCTACTTGTGGTATGATCTCAACATACCCCAAAGCCCTGTTCTAATGAACTTACTAGGTTCCTATATTGGCACAAAAGCTTCAATAACCAGCTTGGCGACTAGTCGTGGGGAGTCCTTGTTGTGCAGGCCCCTACAACTTAACATCACCTAGCCCAAGCCCCGCACCTCCCCCCCACACAATCCTTGAGAATTTTGCAACCCTGCGCAACCCAATGAAGCCTTACAGAAGACTGGCCTAACTCCAAACTCACCCTGAGCCCTAAACCCCAATTAGAAGCCCCCAGGCTTCGACTTGGTTGGCACCCCACCTCCTCGTTTTGGATGCCACAGCCTTGGGTTCTGCGTGCGGGGGTCCACGGTTCTACCCAGGGCTTCAGGTTTAGGGTGGCATGTTCTCTACAGTTGAACCTGCACTCCAAACCCCGACGCCAACGACGGACTTTTGGGTTTGGGTTTCGGGTATGGCTTTCGACAAGGTAAGCAGAGAGGGTGTTTGTGGCTTTTTTTTTGGGGGGGGGACGCCGGCGCGGAGAACGAGTGCTAGTTCTGAGCACTCGCAGGTCCTAAGTTACATAGACCTTACTTCTTCAGTTCGCAGGGCACCAAGGAGTTCTTAGGAAAACGGAAGGCTTCAAACACCAAGCACCGAAGCTTTCGGTATCCTGCTATGACCTGCACCATTAAAAGATCTGCATGCTTGTCATAGAGGCCCCGCACTAACCTTACGAACATAAGGCTGCAGTAGATTGAGGTAATCGGGCTTTATGGAGACCCTGGGAACAGCAGGCTATGGCATATGGTAGTTTAAGCTGGTAGACACCAGAAGAGCTCGAGGGCTTTCGAGTGGAGATTTTAGGTACTCTGTAAGACGGATTCAGGTAGGGTTTTAAGTACAGAAATCCAGATCAAAGCACTGCCGTACTTGATTTAAGAAGGCTCCCGAAACCCTAAACCCCTGAACCCCTCAATGTGAAGCCGCAGACCCTAAACCCTACTTGGAGGATCATGGGACTTAGTAAGTAAGGTTATAAGTACCTTAATTGGGGTTATAAGTATAGTTACCCTAACTATAACCCCAGTTACTAAGCCCCATGATCCTTTAAGTAGTCCCTGGGTCCTAGGCAAGAAGCCCTTATTCGGCCCTGTTCCTGTAAACCCCTTATTCGAAATACAACCTAATAAACTCTCGTGATTATGAGGGTTTAGGGGGTTAAGCTACTTCTTGTAGGGACCCGCTCGCTCTAATATATATGTATATATATATACATACATACACATGTGTGTGTATGTGTGTGTATGTATATATATATATATATATATATTCATTGCGTTGAACTCTTGTTCTATGGGCCCTTGCAGAAACTAGGTTTGCCGTTGTGTTAGTTTGATAATCTGAATTTGAAACACGCGGATGCAAAGCTGCAAAATTCACAAACATGTTTGTCGTTGAAGCTGATTTTGCCATGGTGTTTTCCTACATGCCGATGCACTGTAACAGTTTCATCTGCTTATATCATAGGCCAAGCATGTCTAGTTAATGCTTCGTTGTAGTCCCTATATTGGAGTATATCCCTATGTTAGAGCATTCCCAAAATACTGTAATTCGTAGGGCCCTGGCATTAACACCGAATATTTCTTTAAAGCTCACATAGGCGCCCAAACCCACCCCCCCACCACCCCCCTCAACAAAAAAACTTGTTGTTGTGTTGTGTCCCCTTGCCTTTACAGTAGAAGCCCTAAAGTTGGAAATCCCATAGCCTCAATCCGTAAGAGTAATGTATAGGGCAACCCAGCACTATTTGGCCTTAATCCGGTTTCCAACTTTATGGGGTTTACTGTATATCAGTCATCAGGAGCCCACAAACTACTTGGACCAGCCTGCTCTGGCTGCCCTGGCAGCGGGACTCAAGGCCCTCTTTCGGAGGGCTTTGGGCTTAGGTTTCGAACTGTTTGGGATACCTTGGGTTCTAGACCTTACACTACACTGTACACCGAATTGAGCCAAACAAACCCATCGCTAAGTTACACATGACTTCGTTCCCCAACCAAGGCGTGTCGCACACTGGGGAAGTCTTAATTTCCGAGACAAAGGATCTGATGGTTCAGAATGCGACATTTTTTTGCCTGGTAGGGGCACCACCGACTTATGGAAATGTTGGGTTTTAAAGGGTCTAGGGCCTAGTATAGGGTTTCGTTCTTTGTACTTCATAAGATTTCGTCCGAAAACTTTGTCTTGTAGGGTTTTAGGGTCGTGGGGTTTACGCAGCCTTGCAGATGGGCTGCACCCACCCGCCATCGTAGGGGTTTCCTGAAGCTGAAGGCAGTGATGCCTGGGCCCGGGGCCCACAAACACTGGAACTCCAAACGGTTTAAGGTTTAGGGTTCAGGCGGTGAGTGGTGGTTTTCTGATATCTGCATGCCGCGGTAGGATAATACCGTAATACAGCCCTTGAATAGTATTGACATCACTCCCTAATCACAAAACGCATCAAGCCCTTTTTTGCTACCCTAGACAGAAACCTGTTCTGATAATTGAGGCCGTTACACCAGATGACCTGGACAGGGTATCTCCGATGTTGGCCTTGCAAGCCTTCATAGAGCCGGAACATAGCCTAGGAGCCTTGACAAACACGAAAGGGTTTGGGGTTACATCAGTTGCTGAAAAACAGCCACCAGTATTCAAACACTTTTTTGCAGCCTCAACCCTGAACCTTAAGCCCCTAAACCCTCAACGCTAAGTGTGCACACCAGTCTTTCTCTTCCACCTCTAAGTCACAAGCCCTGGACGTCAGCAGCTGCAGATCTTCGGTGGTGGGGTCCTCATCATCTCGCATACCGCCTCATTTGTCGACGAGGCCTTTGGGTTAAGGCCCTTCGGGCCTTCTAGTGATTGGGGTTTAGGACTTTTTCGGGTTAAGGGTTCGGGGCCTTCAGAGTTTGGGCTTCGGGGGCCTTCAGGGTTTGGGGTTTGGGGCCTTTCGCGTTTAGAGCTTAGTGCAGCTTCGGGCTCCAGGGCGCATGCATGCTTTGGGCTTCGGTTTCTGGGGTCCGGTTTGGGGTTTAGGGTTTACCGCTTAGGGTTTTGCATGGACCCCGTTCACACCCAACGCCCGACGCCTTCTTCCACAGAGGATGGACACACGAGAACCCAGGACCCAGTGCCAAAGAAACCTGAGTCCTCGCGTCCTATCCTGAATTGAGATAATGTGTGCACTTCACGAGGAATCAGATGTGCGAGGATCTACTTCTGGGTTTCCAGGGCTTGAGGTTTGGGTTCTGTCAGAAATGTCACAGGTTGAGTTCATATCCTTGAAATCCAGGGCTCACGGCTCAAACAATGAGGGCCAAAACCAGGCAAAGCGTAGTGCAACACTACAGCCACTGGTCAGAAGCATTGTACAGACATCAGCACATTCAAGAAGATATGCGATGCCCACACCGCTCGAATAGAGAGTAGCATCAGAACGATCAAGGCCGACTTTGCAATGCCCATCCCTCGATGGTTTTCCGGTGCACCACATGCCTCACTCTGACTTTGGGCGTCGTGGTCTCCGTCCTGGGAGGCCTTGGCCTGGGCCTGCACTCTTTGGGAGCCTTCCGCCCGGGCACTCCTTGCCGGGAAGGAGCTCCAAAGCAGCCTCAAGGGCCCGATCCCAAGCCGAGATATGTCTTCCTTGCCACCCATATGAAGACCGGCAGCACGACTCTCTTAAATGCTATAAAGGCTCGTGGTCTCGCCGAAGGGCGACAGCAGAAAGTCTCCAGAGTGCATTTTCCGTATGACCGCAGATGGGACGAAAACGATCAGTATGCGATGCACACTCTGAAAAACTGCACCGTTGAAAACTGGTGTTTGATCCTTGGTTGTTCTGGGCAACTGGCATGAAAGTTTAAGAACCCATGAAAGCTATTGAGGTGCCAAGTTGGAGAACCTAAGCTTTACACACTGTCAATACCCTAAGGCCCCATAGGGTTCCTTCCTTCTTGGGGCTCATATTTAGAATCCTATAAGGTAATCCCAAAAGGAAACTACTATGGGGCCTTAGGGTAGATGTACATGCTAGAGCTAAGAGCCTGGGGTCCTCACTGCAAGCAAGCTCTAGGGCCTTAGAGCCTCGAAGCACATACTCCGAGCCGAGGGTTTAGGGTTTAGGGTTTAGGGTTTAGGGCCGAGGATCATTTCCACTGTTCGAAGACCTGGAGCCCTCAGCGTATCGAACTTTTTCGAATGGTGTCTGATCAAGTACAAGTATAACATCACCTCTGCACAGAAGTATGTGTTGGATATGAGCGATGAGAAGCTGGAAGAAAGCATTATCAACTTTACTCGTGATTTTTTTCTGCCGTATGTTGAACGCTGGTGGGGGAAGACATATCTTGCATTCCGCGAGTTCGGCGGGTTCAGTTTCAGCATGGATGATTTAATTCGGAAGAGGATGTCGTCCCTGCCGAATGCCGTGTGGATCGTGCTGCCTCCGTTTGAGGAGGGCATGCGTGTAAGAGAAGCCTGCCTGAAGCCCTGGTTTGCTGGTATTAATCTGTCCGCTGATATCCAGAACAGTTCTTTGCGTCCCTGGTCCGTGCAGTATTCCAAGATGATGAGCTACTTCCGCAACGAGTCACACTGGCCCGAAGATTTGGCGAATCGGATGCGAAAGACTGACATGATGGAGCTGTTCTATCCGGACTCGAGGCTGTTCTGAACTACGCAGCTGTTCGCAAAATCACTATGATCGCGATAGCATAGGATCCACCACCCCCACCAACAACAGCAGCAGCAACAACAACTTCCACTTACTACTATGACGATTCCGGCATTGACCACGACTACAACTGCTTGTAGATGGAACTTGGGTCCGGGAAGTTACATGCCTGTAGCTGCAGCTTCTGCTTGAATTCGCGTCAGGTTGCATGATCATAAATTCCCAGGCTCTCGTAACAAAATTGGCTCGACCTGCGCGGCGAAAGAAGACCAATTCACCCCAAAGAAGGGTCCTGCTATCTTGTTTGTGACGATTATCTCAGGCTCGACGTGCGTAAGGCGCGCTGCCCGTTTCGGATGCAACCTGAACCTGAGCTCCTGCCCAAATGCCTCGGCAACACAGGGACCAAGTCGCACACACAAGCTGAAATCAATAACCCGCAAGGCCTAAAAAAGGCGTAGACCCTTTGCAAAAATGCCGGCATCCTCAGCCCTCCAAAGACTGCAACGTGCAGGTCTGTTCCGAGCGCTGGATCATGCACGGCGGAGTCCTGCGACGCGAGGCGCAGCTTCGGCAAACGACAGTCCAAGGTTCGAGAGTGTAGTCGGTACTTCAAGGATCATGGGGCTTAGTAATTATAGGGTTATAATTAGGGTAACTGTACTTATAACCCCAATTAAGGTACTTATAACATACTTACTAAGTCCCATGACCCTCCAAGTATCTTGTCTATGACCCCTTGCTGATAAGCTACTTGCTGTCCCGGATCCCGACCTCCTTTCGCGCGCTCATGGTCCCATCTCTGTGCTATCTTGTGCTTGTGCTGTCCCGGCTCAACGCCTGGAAACTGCATTCAGAAGGTACTGTGGCAACTAACTTGACTTAAGTTCGAAATAGTAAGCCGTACAAAGCTTACAACGGCACAGTTCTTCATCAGGGGCCCCAAAAGCACATAAGCATAAGCATTTTATAGGGATATCCCTACCTTAATGGGCTTCTTTCTAAGGGGGTCTATATGGGATATCCCTATCCTAAGTTTTGCTTGTGTGCTCTTTTTTTTTGGGGGGGGGTCCTACTTCACACCGATGAAAGCCGCCACCCCGGCCCTAAATCATCCTAAGCCTTTCGGCGTAAAGCCCGGAAAAGCTGAATTAGACTCAGACTTCTGGCTTTAGGTTCTGTGGGGGCGCCTATTATCACCTATTTCGCAGCATCCACGATATTGGAAAGATATTTATTGCTCCCTTGTGTGAGATGATTCTCATAAGTTAACGCTATTAGTGCTATCCTATGAAATCCCCCACAGCCTGGTGCCGGACCGTCGTGCCGTAGGCTGGTGCTAGAACGGCTAAGGACTTCCGGCGCGGCAATAAGTTGCGTTTCGGTTGGCTTCGGTTTTGGTTCGGTTCGGAATGCCTGCTGAAAACCTCCACCACACCAACGCCAACTCGCTTCAGGAGCCCCTTGTGTCTCTCTCTACCCTGGCACGATCCACCTCTCAACCCTGCACCCCTCGTCCTCTCCACCTTCCGCGCAAGACGCCCACCAAACAAAAGTAAGTGTCCGGTCTTTTGGGGCTTGGCTAAGTGCGACAGATAAATCCTTCTTGTGTGCAGGGCACGCTCGCTCGAGAACAGGAGGAAGAGGTGGGCGGTTGCTTAAAGGCTCATGGGACTTAGTAAGTATACTATAGGGTTATAATTGGGGCAACTATACTTAACGCCAATTAAGGTACTTATAACCTTACTTACTAAGTCCCATGATCCTCCAAGTGGGTTTCCGACATGACACTTTTTGCTGCTTTTTGGGAGTTCCGAGGCTTTGGATGTGAGGCCTTGGTACCGAAAGCGATCTTGTCACACTGCCTCCGGAAACCCAGGGCCTGCAACTTCGCCTCCTCAACTCGCGTTTGTGCCCTGAGACTCAGACCCTAACTGTAACCCCAGACCCTGAAGCTTGAGCCGAATCATCCTCTAATCATCTAACCCTCTTATCCTCACTCTAGCCCTAGAGACCCAAGACCCTGAACCTAAGCCCTACTCGGTCCTAATCTTAAGGCTGCGAGACTTCTTTGGAATTCCTGCCTTCACCCTTCCTATGACTAAGTCGGCCTCTGTCGCTCAAGTAATCTACTTTAAAGGCTCCAGGGTATAGGGTTCACAATGGAGGGTTCAGGGCGTTTCAGTGGATTCTTTTTCTTCGGCCTCTTCTGATAAGTTTGATGTGGAAAGAAAATACAAGGTCGTCCGAGGCCGAGAAGCAGAACTGTGGAGGTGTCGGGCATGGTCACCAGTAGGTGGTAACATACAAGGGGGGAGAGCCCCCGGGGTTTAGGCTTGCGGCTTGAGGGTTTAGGGTCCTAGCCCCGAGTCTCTAAACCCTGAACCCCTTAAAGGCTGCCCTCATGCAGCCCCCCTTCATGCTCAGGCAGTCCCCTGTTACTGCAGGACCCCTCTAAGGTTCCCTAAGGGAGGCGAAAGCGCCCTACAAGGTCTTTTAAACTGCAGATACTCATAGACACCCTTGTTAAATCCCTCGTGAGACCGCATGTAGAACCCTCATGACCCCATAGTTAGACCTCTTTGCGAGACTCCCTTCAAAACCCCCCCTAAAAATGAACTATAAACCCTACACCCCAAACCGTGCCCTACACCCTTAAACCCTAAACCCTAAACCCTAAACCAAGGAACCCTCTCTGCGAGAGGCCCGGCCGCAAACTGCTAGCGCAGCAGCCCAGAACGCCGCCAAGGAGCTTAAGGCTCGGATTCGGTTCATTACTTAAAGGATCATGGGACTTAGTAACTATAGGGCTCCTTAAAGGGATCCTTATAAAGGGATCTATAGGGGTTCTATTATAAGAGGGGATTTAGGGTCTACTTAAAGGATCATGGGGCTTAGTAACTAGGGTTATAGTTAGGGTAACTATACTTATAACCCCAATTAAGGTATTTATAACCTTACTTACTAAGTCCCATGATCCTCCAAGTAGGGCCATTAGGCTCACAGTTCGTCAGATTTAGGGATACATGTTTGGGATTCAGTGCTGTGGGTTCATATACACTGTAAGCGACAGCAGGGTCTGAAGTAAGTTTAGCAATGGCTGTGACTACTTCTAGCCCTTGCAGAAATCCTTGCTGGAAACTACCCACGGAAATTTCACGATCCTTGGTTCTTTCGAGTCGTCGTAGAAGGACAGAGAAGGCATGCTGAGGTTCTGAAGCAATATTTGAGTTTCCGAAAACAGGGGACCCTAGCACAGTACCCTAAATAATAGGATCCTTATTATAAGGACCCCAAAATAAGGTACCCCTAATTTTCGGAAACGCCCATGTGACGGTGATGGGAGTAGAGGCTTTGACTTAGACTATTTGGCGGATCAGCCTGTTGGCAACGTTGTACACTTGTCCAAGGAATCGCACACCATGATGATGTCAACGTCTGATCCGGGCCTTCAGCACATCTTGCCAAGGCTGCACTTTGCATTGTCAAGCCAAAACCTTTCATCAGAAACCAACAGCACCAACTTGAGCAGTGATCCTAGCTTTACATCGCCCCATCCAAACCTGAAGCTAGACTCCAAGCCACAACCTCAGAACCAATGCCTATGCCCTAATGAACCATAATCCTCAAGCCCGTGTTTTGAGCCCTGTCGTTGAGCTGAACGGCCCCACAGGCTCACACGCCAGCCCGACAATTGTCAATGTAGACCCCTGATTAGTCCCTCGGTTCCTGATGGGCTGTGCCAGCACAGCTGTTAGACTCCCAGAAGGGCCGGATACATGGCGGACCGCGACCGAAGATAGTGTTTCTATGGACAGACCACGGCCTCCATTTGAGGCTCACAAGCTGATGGCTCATCTGCTCCGCGTCTGGTCTCGCACCCACAACAAGACGGCAAGCGTCGCATTAAGTTTCTCGGCGACAAGCACGGCAAACGCGAAGTCGACCTCTGCTTCGCCCACTTGGGCTACTGCAAGAACGAGTACCTCAAGACATCTTCATCGATTGTTCAGTACGTCGACACCCTTGTCTCAGCGTACGAAACAGAAACAGACGGGGAGTTTGGGTCCGGAGTCACTACGTTGTAGTCCTCAACCCCAATACTTGCAGTCCAATGGGTTCGGTTTAGGGTTGTTCGCCTAGCACTGAACCTGAAATATTGATTCTCTGCAACAGGGTTTGCGGCCACCCTTAGCCTTAAAGCAATGAAGCTTGAACGATGTAAGCCCTGAGTCATGGAACAGCTTTATAAGATCCTATAAACAATAGGAAGCCCACCATAGAACTTAAAAGAAATCTTGTAGAGCTTCATAAAAGCCATCACAGAGCCCTATCCCCGCCCTAAACCCGTAACCCGAAACTAAACCCACAACCACCGAAGCCTTTTTTCCTATCCCCTAAACCCTAAACTTGGCCCAAAACCCTAAACTAAAACCCCAAACCCCCGAAGCCCTTAACCCTGCCCCTTATAATCCCTAAACCCGCCTAAACCCTGTGATACGCCTTATAGTACCCTTATATGGATCCCTGTAAAGGAACCCTAACCCCCCCCTGAAAACCCTAAACCCGACTGCAGGAGAAGCGGAAGCAGAAGCGGCTGAAGGAGCTCCGTCGGAAGCTAGGCGCCGGACCTGAGGATGTTCATGGGTTCAGTGATTTAGGGTTGACGGGTTTAGGGATTTAGGGTTTAGGATTTTGGGGTTTAGGGTGGTTTAGAGGTTTAGGGTCTAGGGTGGATTAGAGGTTTAGGGGTATAAAGCGGTTTAGGATTTACAGTTGGGGCTTCTAGGTGCTGAGGGTTTGAGGGTTTAGGGTTATGGGATAGACAGGTCGTCATAGTGTTTGGCAAGGTTCTCCTGAGGTTTTACAGAGTTGCCAAGCTTTGTAAGGGACGTTTAACTGTTTCCTACTGCTTCATCGCTCCGCCATGAGATTTTCCATCTGCGAGTGTGAATGTAGAGGCTTTAATAAATGCCAACAGTATCTTGGGGGGTTCCTAC